TTATACCTGGCAACCCCTGCTGAAGATAATCCAACTGAGACTTTCACCTAACCAACGTAAACATGATAACAAAAGATCAAAAAGAAAATCATTCACATGGTTCAAGATTTTTTATTATTAAAGATGATAGAGTTCACAAACACAAAAAAACAGAAAGCAGAGAAAAAAGATAAGAGACAACACTCAGAATCACAACTAGACACTAGAGTTCCCAAGAAACATGAAAGACACAAGACACTAGACACTAGAGTTCACAAGACACTATCTTGTTCTCATGCATCCCTGCTTGCTCATCACTCCACGCAAGATTCTTAGTTTAAGATAGAAATATATGATTTCGTAAAAATCAATCTAAATTACAAAAAAAGCATTAAGTAAAATATGAGTTTAAAGGGGAAGATACTCACATCACTACCATCGATAGTTGACATTGTTTTTGAGTTGTCCCTGAAGGTATAAAAAGAAGCAAAACCAGTTAACAAAACTAGTTTTAAATCGCTCTTAAGCAAAAGCAATTCAAAACCATGTCAGTGGAAGAGTGAAAGAGACACTTGCGATTGAAAGCCAAAGAAAGAAATAGAGACAGCTTTTCAAAACCACTCAAAAGCTGGAAAAACAAATCAATAACATGATCCAACTAATTCTCATTCACACAAAATAAACCTTGCAACATTGATACATAGAAAAAAAACTAGGCAGTGAAAGACACTCATCATTGAATGAACCATTGTAACTCTCTTGTAACTTCTTTTTTACTATGAAACTAAACATAGTAGCAGCAACCTCCACACTAATAAAGATTGAAACAGAAGCTATTAATTAAGGTCTCTTACATGAAGCCACACGGTATTTAGATTCATCATTCAAAAGATGGCTTAACACACAACAAATAAACATAAGTATTTAAATTCTCATTCCTCATAGTTCGTGATTCTTTGATTCAAGTCACCCTTGTTTCCCTCATACGTATATATCAAGACTTCACCAAGGAACACGAAATCAAACAAAGCCACAACACTCATCTCCATTGGTACACATAAACTCAATACAAAATCATGAATTAGAGATATATCATACCTCTCAAACAGTGGTTGCAGCGATTTCAATCCGTAACACCTGAAACCCACTTTGAGATTTCAATGACTAAAGGAGAAATCGAATCCAATAATCAAACCCATGAGTCTTACCTCTCAAACAATGGCCACAGCTAATTCAATCCGTAACACCTTAAACCCACGCACGAGAGAGAGAAGAAGAGATCCGGCGAAGAGATCAAAGAGGAGTCGAGTAGAGTGAGAAGGTCAAAGAGGAGTGGATTCCGGCGAGAGATCCGGCGAGATATCCGGCGAAGAGATCCGGCGACGAAGAGATCTCGTTTCTCTCTGTGTCGAAGAATGTCTCTCTGTGTCGAGGAATGAAGGAGAAGAAGGCTTAGGTTTTTGGTGTAATTCTCTAACTTAGGTAAGGGTATTTAGGTCATTTTATATTTTGGACTGAATCAGCTCCAGTTAACTGCTCCAATCAGACTCAGCTGGATTATGATCATTTTTTGGATGAGTTTAATAAAAATCATCCAACTGGTTCATCTCACTGTTCTGTAAATTTGTTGTAAACAAACATCATTATTCATCTCCATTCAGATGGATCATCTGAATGGAGAAACGAACAGCACCATAATAATATTGTACAAAATAACTATGTATCAAAATATACTTCAAAATTTCTAATAATGCTGATTCTTTAATAAACACAAATTATTTTAGCTTTCAAAAAAAAAAAATAAGAATTGTTTCTTTACAGATACCAAAAGCTTTGATTGCAACAATCATTGTCGATAAAATGGGAAGAAGAACTCTCCTTATGGTTAGATATTCATTCAATATACTTTTACTCATGTATTAATCAAAATACTCCGATATAATAACTAGAGATTATATCTCTTCGTATAATAGAAATTATTATTTGTTGTTGTATAGGCCTCTTGTGCTGGAATGTGCCTGTTTGCTTTGCTCTTAAGTGTTTCCTACAGTTTTCAGGTAATCCCCTACATATATCTTATCATTAAATTAAATTTGTATTAATTAATACTAGAATTCATAATGTACCCTAGATTCTAAAACCTACATTTTGAAAAAGGATTATCACTAACAATTGGGTTTAATATAATTACATTATTTACATACACATATTTTGACTGCTTAGCAAATGTTTACAAGAAAACAGAAGCTATATATGTTTACTATAGTTTATTTTAATTTGCGAGTTCAAGATAGATTTCTGCAGGTACATGTAAAATAATTTCTTACAATGTATATGATATTTCCTACAGTGTCTAAAAGCAATACTATTTAGTAGATCTTTACAAATTATATTGAATAATTTAATAGATTCTTATCATTTTTATTTAGCATATTTGAATTACTAATTTTTCGTATATTTTTGAATAGTCATTGGGCATTCTACCAGAACTCACTCCCATTTTCACCTGGATCAACATACTGGTAAACACACTTAATTAATATATATCACTGTAAATTATTTCTTATAAAGATAATACTATAATTTTAAGGAAGTATCTATTTGTTTGGATAATGTGAGTTGTATTTAATAGGGTTACGTTATAACATATGCTATGGGAATGGGAGGACTACCATGGATTATAATGTCTGAGGTATTACAAAAAATGTTCAAAGTATATTGCAGAATATATATTGAAAGATAATAGTAATTTTTATTATAAATTTTAAACAAAACGGAATTAGAAAAAAATTATGATTTTACAGATATTTCCAATGAACGTAAAAGTTTCAGCTGGAACCTTAGTTACTGTCACCAATTGGGCAATTGGTTGGGTGATAACTTTCAGCTTCAATTTTTTAATGCAATGGAGTGCATCAGGTATAAAATTAATTTGTTGTATATATATATATATATATATAATATATTTTTAATACAGTACTAATTTTGTATTATTATTCTTAATGGAAACAATTTTTTTTTCAGGAACATTTTTAATTTTTTCTATCGTCTCGGCCGTTTCAATTATATTCATCTATTTCTTAATGCCCGAGACGAAAGGGAGGTCACTGGAAGAAATACAAACACTGCTTTCAAATTCTATGCATTAATATGAAATTATCATTTTTGTTTTGTTGCAAAATAAAAACAAAAACGAATGATAAACTATGGAGTTCATGTATGTTTTGACAAATCAACGTAAAATAAAATAGATTGTTACTAAATTAGAGGCCTTTCGTTCATCTACTATTTAGTAGATTGTTAATGTTTAAAAAAAATAGTTCTATTTAGTTTAAAAATGTTGTCGTTCTATTAATTTCACTATTTTATAATTAGCTCTTGAGCTATTAATATGACATACCAGTCAAACCCATATGTTTGTTGTGGTAAGTTTTTCCTTTTTCTAAATGTGAATATATTCCTCGCTATGTTAAAACAACTAAAAAACGAACGCTACTTACATACAACACATGAAAATGTACATATGACTGACTACTTAGCTTAAAAGAAGATATAACTTGATAAGTCATGGAAAAGTAAAATATATGTGTCGTCATCTAAATGAGACTAAAATATGTTATTGCACTATATAAAATGGTATAAAAGCATATGAATAAACCCAGGTATTTTTTGTTTGATAGTTATATAATAATTTTTCTAATTATCTAATCATTTGTTTTTATCATTTCTTCACATAGACAAAAGTTAATTTAAAAATTAATTCGAGTCATTAATGAGTTACAAAGGCATTCTTAACAATGCATATAGGTTGTTTGTAACGCTCCGACCGTCCCTACCATTGGACCCCACGTCCTTTCTCGGGTCCATGGGCCCACCCCTGAAGTTCTCTCGGGACGGTTGACCGAAAATATAATTGCACTTTGGTGACATAAGTGGCCAAATAAATTCTTTTAAACCTCTATGCATGCACCACCATATTCCTGAAACCAGGGTGTTACAATTTACCCACACTAACAGATCGCAACGTCCTCGTTGCGCACCAAGACCATCACTCCCTACGGTGTGAGCCCTCTCGACTTCACACTCGTTTGGGTTTGGCTCTGATACCACTTGTAACGCCCCGACCGTCTCTACCATTGGGCCCCACGTCCTTTCTCGGGCCCATGGGCTCACTCATGTTCGACGGTCGGTCCGCTACGTTCGGGAGGCTTTAAAGACTTGTTTACCGACCCTACAAATCACCACATGATCTTTCACTGTGTTTTGTCTTCACTCACACAGTTCCGACAATCACTTCCCGGAAGGTCACCCATCCTGAAACTACTCCAGCCCAAGCACGCTTAACTGTCGAGTTCTCTCAGGACGGTTGACCGAAAAGATAAGTACACTTTGGTGACATAGGTAGCCAAATCAATTCTTTTAAACTTTTCTGCATGCACCACCATATTCCTGAAACCGGTGTGTTACATTGTTCACGAATATTAGGAAAAATCACAATATAAGTTTTAACTCTCTCTAGTGGATAAATTGGAATCTCATCATACCAATTGAATAAAAAGATGGTGAACACATACAATGAACTGAATAAAAATTTGAACAATTTTGTTCGAACGGTGAATAGTCAAAGATGATACTTTTTTTTTTACTTTTTTATTTATTATCAAAATCGTAATAAATTATAAAATTAATTATTATCAAAATTAATTTAAATAAATATATATTAAACAAACATAAATTGATTGTTCCATCATCTTTTATGGCTTTGCAAACATAAAAGTTTGGGGGTTTAAAATATTAGTAAAAAAATCTTGGTGATTTATAGTGTTAGTAGAATTCTTTCGAGGTTTAAAGTGCTACCCAGTTACACTTTGAGGGTTAAAAATGTGATTTTCCCCGAATATTATATAACTTAAATTGGTATAAGAGCATATCATTAAATCAATATTTAGAGAGAAAATAAAAAATAAAAAAATTTAATTCAATAAGTCACAAAGACACTATTTTCTTTTTCTTTTTTTTCGTCAAATGATATCATTATATTATATGGTTTGAAAAATCGCTATGCAGCGCGTTTGTTATTACATGAGGAACTAAATTATGAAAAACGAAACATGAATGAGAAGGAATCAAATGTTTGGCTAAAATATCTGCAGGCTTGTTGTTCCCACGTCGACACCATGTGAATTGACTCTCTGCAAACCTTGTCCTCCATTTTCTTGCTTCCCTCAACCAATTAAAGGCTTCAAAGTTAAGCTTCTGTCCATTGAGTAGGTCTACTACTTCCTTATTGTCACCTTCAAAACATACCCGATTGTAACCCTTGATCCAGCAATGTTGCATGGCCATGATTAACGCTTGGAACTCACTCTCGACGACGTTCCTTGTTTGATTACCTTTAGCTTGACCCGCCCCCAAATAAGTACCTCTATCGTTTCTTATCACCCAACCTGCTTGAGAAATCCTTCCATTTGAATATGTGCCATCATAATTACATTTAATCCAGTGTTGGTTTGGTGGTTCCCATCTCGATTCTGATCGTGTCTCAGAAGGAGTATGAGCTCGTGATCCTCTCATGTCTTCTGTATGTCTTTCTTGATCCTGCCATTCTTGAGCATCATCCCTCGCCTGTCTTATGATCTTCCTCCACGATGTGGATCTTCTTTGAAAACAGAGTATATTGCGACTTATCCATAATCTCCATAAAATCCACAGAGGAAAATGACGGAGATGAGAAAATCTTGTTGACGTGTTGCAAGTCATTATAGCCTTAATCTTCTCTTCCAAAGAGATATTTGGGTCTGTTAGTGAAGCTAATGGAAAACCAGACCCACGCCAAACTGCCTGTGCCATGACACAATCAAAGAACAAGTGACATGTTGTTTCCACATTGGAGCAACAATAACAACAAAGAGGTTGGTTACTCATATGTCGATAAACTAGATTGGCTTTAGTAGCTAAAGCGCCGGAGAGGAGTTTCCATAAGAAGTGCTTTAACTTCGGAGCGGTGTTGATACGCCACACTTGAGCTTTAAGATCATTAGCACCCGGAGTAGAACGGATTTGTTGTTCGCTTGGGAGATGTGTCGCCAACCAGTAAGCAGACTTCACGGTGTATATACCCTCTTTTGTGTAGTGCCATCCCAATAAATCCTTCTCAGCCCCTGGACAAATCTTAATTGACAAAACTTTGTCTACATCTTCATGGTGAATCCACGCATTGACTCTGTTTGTGTCCCAGCCCGTTTTCCTTGTATTCAAAAGATCACTCACCATTTTTGGCCCTATAGAATCTGAACTTGTCCTCGGAGACCGAGGAGGATGACAAGGTAACCACGGGTCCATCCAAGCATTTATTAGAGATCCATCGCCAATGCAAAACCTGAGACCTTTTTTAACCAAATCCCGGCCTTGTAAAATCGACTTCCAATGAAACGATGCTTTCTTACCCTGGCCTGCAGTTAGAACATTTGAATCTGGGAAGTATCTTCCCTTGAGAACTCTCGCCATAAGGCATTCTGGATGTTGCATAATCCTCCACACCTGTTTACCAAGCAGCGCTAAGTTGAATTTTTCCAGTTCTCTGAACCCTAAACCTCCTTCCTTTTTTGGACGACTTAATCTGTTCCAAGCAAACCAGTGAATTCCCCGTTTGTCTTCACCCGAACTCCACCAAAATCTTGCTAACAACCCATCAATTTCGTCACATATTTCCTTAGGCAACTTAAACAGATTCATTGTGTAAACCGGCATTGCCAATGCAACGGCCTTCAATAACACCTCTTTGCCCCCCTGCGAGAGATACTTCTTACTCCAACTTTGAGTTTTATCCTTAACCTTTTCCACAATGTATTGAAAGAGATCCGCTTTCTTTTTATCAAATTGTTCTGGAAGCCCCAAGTACTTACCTCCACCCCCTTCATTGTGTATGTTTAGTAGATTGCGGATACGCCTTTTTGTATCTTGTTTAACATGATGCCCAAAGGTGATGGCCGATTTCCGGAGGTTGACCGCTTGTCCAGACACTTCTTCGTATTTATTCAATATACTCTTAATCGTTTGGCAAGAACGCTGATTCGCAAGAGTAAAGAACAACGAATCGTCTGCGAAAAGTAGATGAGAGACTGCGGGAGCTTGTTGACTAACTTTGATGCCTTGTATCTTTTTATTTTTCTCTGCTTGCTTCATCATATGGGATAGAACTTCTGCGCATAGTATAAACAGATATGGAGAAAGTGGATCACCTTGGCGTATGCCTCTGGTCGGAGTGATGTTGCCGTATGGAGATCCATTGATCAAAACTGAGTACTGAGTACCATATGGGATTTGAGACACTATTTTCTTTTTTGGTATCAAAACAGAAAGACACAATTAATAATGCATATAGTTTTCTCGAGAAAATTATATAACTTATAAGAACACCACTTAAAAAATTTGTGGATAACATCCCCTATATATTAATAGAGAAACATTTAAAAAAAAAAACCTTACCATCATGTGTTATTAACAAGATTGCCACGCTGATGTGTCGCTCTCACAATGATTTGGCTTCTATTTAGATAATTACCCAAGATTTATTAGACTATTTACAGAATTTGCCATTAGTCTCATACATCCATATATCCCATTAATAATTAAAAACATACACTTTTTGTTTATCTTATATTACTATATTTTTATATTTATATTTTTCTTTATATAAATTTATATAAATTTTCTTTAGCGGATGGGTAAACAATCTTTTTATTTATATTTATATTTATGTTTATATTTAAATGATAAAATATATACATTTGGTTCAAGAATCTCGAATTCAAAACTACAAAATCTTTACATCTTTCATAAATTTTTTACTTAAATAAATAAGATAATGTCCTTTCTATATATGTTACGAATACTTAAAATCCTATTTTTTGGAGGAGTTCTAACTTTTCGAAGAAAAACATTATAACCACATTTGTATATAAACCAAAATCTGGCCACATTATAACCATTTCGTAAATAATCCATTCATAATCTAAGAATCTTAGATTTGGAACACTACAAAATCTTAGCTTGGAAACTATCAAATCTCATCTTTGCTAAATTTTGGATTTCTTATACTTATTAAAAAAAAAAAAATTCTTTTTATACTACAAAATCTCGAAATCTTTAAAACATATGGAAAGACATATTGCCATAAATGGTAACATTTTGTCAATACTTTTTTATCACGTTGAAGCTTTATTCAAGGTTCAAATATTTCACGGGTAAAACATATTCTTATATGAAATAGTCCCAAATTTGAATAAAACAAAAAAAAATTGTAACATGTTTCGTTTTACACAAACGGATCTTGGATCCCGGATAATAATTTTAATCATAATAATTTTACTTGAATCACTTCATCCCGCACATCGTGCGGGTTGTTATCTAGTATTCATATAAAAAAGTAACTTGCTATAAAAAATTATCACGTCTTGTACAATTAAATAGAAAAAAAACCATCGAAAATGATTTAAATTCGTATATAGGCTCAGAAACAATCTTGTCATTTTCTTTTCTTTTTTTTGAAATAAGTATTGAGTTCTTGTCATTTTCTTAAATAACTTTTTTTTTGTTTAACTCTTTACTTTTTCTCTATATATAATAACTTGAAGACAAGGACAAAAAAAATTAAATACCCTTATCTCTTCTCTATATATTAGTTCACAAGATGCTCTCCAACAACTCTACTTTGTCTTGACTCAAGTCTTTCACTAGGAAAGATAGAACCCAAAAAAAAAAAACAGAGAAAATGAGAGGAGGAATCGATGAAGCTAATCTTGCTTCTGAAACTTCACTAATCAGCAAAGAAAATCAAGACTCATCGGCGACAACAACAGCTACTCTCTTGCTCACCACTTTTGTAGCTGTGTCTGGTTCCTTTGTCTTTGGCTCAGCTGTGAGTTTACAGTTATTATTTTTTGCTTTGTTTTTTTAGTAATTGTGTGTTGTGTTTTGTGTTTGGTTCTTAATTTTTAATTTCGTTAGAAAATTTTGGCAGATAGGATACTCATCACCTGTTCAGTCCGATTTAACCAAGGACTTGAATCTCTCTTTGGCAGAGGTATACAGTTGTTTTTTTTAATTTTATTTATTTATTATGATATATGTCTTTTGTTCGTTATATGTATAAGTAAATAAAATAGTTTGCAAAAAAATAAAAAGATAAGTAAAATAGAGTAAATTTAATCAGTGTGTTAGGTTGAGTCATTGAGTAAAGTAGTGGAGAAAGAGTTATGATACTAGAAGATAATGGTGATGAATAGAGACGTAAGATTACAAGAGTGATTTCAGTATATTTAAACTATTTAAAGACACCATTTTCTAATTAAATTTGACATTCCTATATAAATTGTTCCAAAGAGATCGTCGATCCTAGAGTTAGTGGTAAATTACACGACCAAAACCATGAAACTTAAGTCTTGGAGAGGTTCGAATGAATAATCTAGTCGATATCCCACATATAAATGTTTTTAAAATATATGCAGTATTCGCTTTTCGGTTCGATTCTGACAATTGGAGCAATGATCGGCGCAGCTATGAGTGGACGAATCGCTGATTTGTTAGGCAGACGAGCTGTAAAATTTCTTTTTCTTTCTTCCATGACAATCGAATATGTATACTTTTACGTCAAACTTGTAAATAAATCATTTATTTGTGTGTGTGATTAGACTATGGGTTTCTCGGAGATGTTTTGCATTCTCGGCTGGTTAGCGATCTACCTTTCTAAGGTTAGCTTAGTATTTTTCTCTGTATTTCTAATCAACTATATTTCATCTAGAAGTACTTAAAAATAACCATGTGGTTTTGTCTATTAAGGTTGCAGTTTGGCTTGACGTTGGGAGATTCTTGGTTGGTTATGGAATGGGCGTCCTTTCGTTTGTGGTAAAATCTATATAAACTCTAGCTAGTAGCTTGAATAATGAAAAATATTGTTGGTGATTTACAAGAAAATCCGACTTTAAGCTGGTAATCCGACTTAAAATCGCGCAGAACAACACAATGACAATATGATTTCTTCGATTTATGTAGCTGAAAGTTGTTGCTAGCTAGTAAATTAGAGTTTGTGTCGTTCTTTCATCTAGATTGTTTAGTTCATTGATGATCAGGTTCCTGTATACATAGCTGAAATCACTCCTAAGGATCTTCGTGGTGGGTTTACAACTGTTCATCAGGTAAGAATATATTATACAATAACTAAATTAGTTTTTGTAAATCAAATCAAAATTTACAATATATATACATAAAAAGTATCATTTTCATATCTCCATCGTTCTATAACATTGCTAACATTGCAGTTAATGATATGTTTGGGTGTCTCAGTCGCATATCTCTTGGGTTCTTTTATAGGCTGGCGAATTTTAGCTTTGATCGGTAATATACAAGAACATACTTTGGATCAAATAACTTTTATTATTTTTTTTTTTTTTCTCAAATCAAATAACTTTTATTAAAAATAAGTAAATCATACTAAGAAAATCGTTTATTTGATACTTCAGGAATGATACCATGTGTTGTACAAATGAGATGCCAAATCTATTATACTACAAGTTTAATAGTTGTGATGTAACTAACTTTTGAGATGCCAAATCTAGTTAATCGAATTAATTAGCGGAATTCGAAAACGTTTTGAAGATTTGAGTTTTGAGTACGTATATATATCATTATGCTAAGTAATTTAAAACTTTCTTTGTCTTAGAAAATAAACGGTAATTATTCGCAAAAATTCTCAGGCAAAAGTTGGAAGATGGGAAGAATTTGAGATTGCATTGCAACGATTACGGGGTGAATCTGCAGATATTTCATATGAGTCTCATGAAATCAAAGTAAAGTAACACTAAAATCTATTTCTTGCACTCAAAATTTAATTTCTAGAATGTTACATTAAAATTTTACATGTCTTGTATTAACTCTATTTTCTAGGATTATACGCAAAGACTTACAAATTTATCAGAAGGTAGTATACTAGATCTATTCGAGCCAAAGTATGCCAAATCTCTATTCGTAAGTTTTAACTTATGAAATTGTTCAGTAACTAATTTTCTTCAGTATTTGGTGATGACATACTAAGTGGATTTAGGTGGGAGTTGGTCTGATGGTTTTGCAACAATTTGGAGGGGTTAATGGAATTGCGTTTTACTCTAGCTCTATTTTCGAATCTGCTGGTACATATATACCTGTAATATTGGTTAATGTGCCCTAAAACCCAAAAAAGAAACTTCACTAACCAACTTAGTTTTGTTTTGTAGGTTTTTCTTCCAAAATTGGAATGATTGCGATGGTGGTCGTACAAGTAAGTTTTTGGTTATTAATTCTTTTTTCATTTTGGCGGTTAATTAAGAGAATGAAAGCGTATTTGTTTAAGGTAGCAACACAACTAATACAAATATATATATATATATTAAAATAATATAATTACACTACTAGAGGTTTTCTAGGGAAGAAAAACTTGAGAAAGAAAGAGGGATATTGTTAGTGTGTGAATGGTTTCCATTTGAGAGAGAAGGGAGAGAGGGATAGCCACTAATCCTGAAAGTTTTAGTCGTTGGTGCTGCGATCAATCACTGTGAATGATCATTGATTAATCCAACGACTATCAAACAAACAACATTAAAAAAAAAAAAAAAAAAAAAAAAAAAAAAAAAAAAAAAAAAAAAAAAAAAAAAACAACATTTGATTGCGATCGCTGGCGACTGCCAAGCAAACATGACTATAGAATTATAAAACGAACATAAGTTTCTCCTATAGAAACCAAATCGATCTAACCTCAGCTTGATTTGTTTATCCGTCCAATCCGAATTGACCCACCCAAAATTAATCCTATAACCATATTCTACAAAGTTAAATAGGTAGAAAAACATATCTCGAGAAAACATGTTAGAAATACCTAACATTGAAGAAATAAGACTTTGAGTGATATATTCAAGATATGGTGAAATATATTCTGCCAAATTGTTTTGAAATGATAAGCCAGATGACTGAATAATTACAATTAAAATATTAATGTTTAACAGTTAAAATTCAATGTATCATTTTTTAAAATAATTGAAGCTGAGAAGGGTTTTTTCTTCCAGATCCCTATGACAACTTTAGGTGTAGTGTTGATGGATAAATCGGGAAGAAGACCGTTGCTTCTAGTAAGTAACAAAGTGACTAACATTTTTCTATGTTATTTGTCGAATGCAAGGAATTTTTACAAGTCATTGTTTCTCAAGATCGCTAATTTAAACATATGTTTTAAAGAATTTATTTAATAACAATAAAAAATTTCCAACTTATTATTGTTTATTATTACAATCCTCCATATATACATTATATATATATATATATATATTGGTAAATAAAAATATCTATTCTCCGAATATACATTTATAGGTGAAAAAGTTACAAATAATTAAGTTTGTATTTATCTCGTCAGATTTCTGCTACTGGAACATGCATCGGGTGTTTCCTCGTCGGCTTATCATTTTCATTACAGGTTCTCTCCTTATTTATATTTCTAAAATAATTTCTTGATTTGCCTATATTTAACATAATATGTTTTACTATATTAATATCTTTATAAATAAAGATGCAAATAATGTCTTACCGTGTTAGCTACACATTAGTCCAAAATGGGAAAAATGTTATGAAAAACCTCAACTACATATTTTCGTTGCAAAAAGCCTCAACTTTGCATATGGTGAAATATATATCAAATTTTTGTTGACCTTTTATTTAATCGTAAACTTTTGTTGACTTTACCAATTTAGAAATATCGTTAAATATCTAAACAGATCAAATAAAACAGGGTTATGTTTCCATTAATATTTTTATGTTAATTAGTAAAACAATATTATATGAGAATATTTTTGGGATTTCATCTGAGATTTTTGAGGGAATAGAAATCTATTTGCGGATTTTTTAATCTTTTAAACAACCTCGTTTTGCCCATAAACAGAAGCTCACTAACCGAATAAAAAAACACCATCATTTTATACTGTTTCATGACTTAACATTGTCCTTAATTGGCAAAATAAAAAGAAAGTTTATAATTTATCGGATAATTTTAAAAAAGTTGGTTATTTATTTCATTAGATGCAAAGTTGAGGGTTTTTTTTGTTTACCAATGAAAATGCACTGTTGAGACTTTTTATGACATTTTCCCAGTCCAAAATACATATTCTTTGCACATCGTCTTGTGATGTAGGCACTGTCATTACGCCAATGTTATTGCATAAGTAATTGTACATGTGCTTAAATAGTAGAAAAGGGAACACATATCATTCACACAAATTTTGGATTTTTTTGGAAAAAAAACCCTCCAAATGATTAATTTTGCAAATTTACCTTCAATATGCAAAAATGCACGACAACCCTCAAATCGAATTAAATTTCGCAATATAAACCGTGCTCACCATTTTTATTAAATTATTATAAATTATGTACTAAATATAATCCCTTGCGACGATAAATCCATATGTACTTGCAGAATTTAGAAATTCTAATGTATGTGACATCAAATTTTTTTCAAAAATACATATAATTATATTACGGATCAAATTCGATTGTGTGAATTGATTTGCACTTTTTATAATTTGAAGGTAAACTTGCAATGTTTGATCATGTGGAAAGTTTTCTTTTCGGATATTTAGCTACAATTGTGCCATATGACTTTATTGTTTCCATAATTATAAAATTTTCTTCTAATAGAGTTTTAATATCTTTTCCCACTCTATGTCTAGTTCTAGTTTCCTATAACTTAGAGATCTGTTTTATTGAATAATAATATAAAAATTTCTACGTAACTTCATGCTTCAAAATGTTTAAAATTTTCATATTATAAAATTTGGGTTCTTCCAATTGTAGTTTGTAAAGCTATTGAGTGGAGATGCTTCATATTTAGCACTTGCAGGCGTTTTGGTAAGTTTCAAGACTGAAACACATGTTTTTATTTTATTTTTAATCATCAATTTGAAATTTTGAAATTTTTCTTATCATTTCAACCATCACTGTTTGTGGATCCCACATCTTCTCTTGGTTCGTAGGCCAAATATTCAACATAAATTTTAAAAGAATCAATTTGGTTATCTATATCACCACATTTTTTTTAATTCAGCCTTACAAAAATATAAAGTTAGACGTGTTTAAGCTGAAATAATTTTTATATGAGTGACCTACTAAAAACTGATTTCTTATATCATATTAGTGAAAACAAAACACAGAGAAAATTTTTATGATGATTTTAAAGAATAGTAAACAAGTCTTTCAAAACTTCTGAAACAGCACACCGACCGTGGGATGAAATTAGAACCAACATATCAAGAGAGATCTTACGGTCCCATAAACAATGGAGGTCATAGTGTTATAATCACAAATTTATATTTTTTTTTCAGGTGTACACCGGATCGTTTTCCTTAGGGATGGGTGGAATTCCTTGGGTCATTATGTCAGAGGTAAATAATACTCATAAAATGTTCTTTGGTTTTAAACATACTCTTAAACTTAATAGTTCGATTTCTTAAGAAATATAACGTTTTTGGTTTAGTGTTCGAATTTTAAATAATAAATTATCTAACAATGAACATGGTGTATATGGTTCTTTGTATGGTTGTGATTGTATATATAAAAATTATGATATTTATTTATTTATTTACTGGTTTCTACTTTCTAGTATATAACATTTTTGTTTAATTTAGTTGGTACATAGATGTTAATTTTTTTATATTTTATATCAAGATATTTCCAATAGATATAAAAGGATCAGCAGGAAGCCTCGTGACTGTTGTTAGCTGGGTTGGATCATGGATTATATCTTTTACATTTAACTTTCTAATGAATTGGAATCCGGCAGGTATAAAATTAGTTTCAAATTTTGCTATCAATTAATTTTGCTCATTATCTAAATGTGACACAAGTTTTCAATTTTCAGGAACATTTTATGTTTTCGCTACTGTTTGTGGGGCTACTGTTATTTTTGTAGCAAAACTCGTACCAGAAACCAGAGGTCGCACACTTGAGGAAATCCAAAACTCGATTGGTTATGTGGAATTGTAATGTATAGTATTTGATTACAAGAAACTTAATCATTTATTATAACGACTAAAAGTAAGATTTTATTTTATTTTTTATTGCCTAATGGTGTATCATTGTATTAAATCAAACATGAAAAATCTATATGTTGTTATATAAATGTTGAGATGGTGACAGGTCTATTGAAATGTAAGTTAACTATAGATAATAATTAAGCATAAATTTATTGCGAAAAGATTGATATATATTAATTGATGAAGTTGGCAAGACCTATGAAAGGTTCCGCAGATGTGTGTTGGTTTTTCTTTCAATGTTTTATTTTAGAAACCACACGGAAAGTTACAAGTGCACAACTAATCATATGTAGTATTTAAGGATCGATTT